AAAAAAAAAAAGGGTGAAAGAGAAGAAAGCGGACGAAGGAAACTGAGCATTACGAAAAAGTTAATTTTTTGGTAGGTTTAATGTAAGTGCGTTTAAGGTACTGCTGTTCAGCGACGGCTACAACGACGATTTGTCGCTTAAGGTTACGCGTCTTCTTTCGACCCCGTAACTGGTGTCACTCTGTGCCGCTCAATTAGCCGCAAAAGAAAAATAGCAAGTGACCCGTTCTGGTAGCCTTCCAATTTTCAACGAGGGTAAATGGATAATAGTTGGATAAGAATATATACATTCTAAGACCTCTCTATTAGTTATCAGAAGTTTGAAGAAAATTCAAAATAAAATTTTTAAAATAGTTTGAGGTGATTGGTGGAATAAGTGTAGTCGGAGGTGCAGTGTCTACTACTTTCGGTAATTTTTTAATCAAAAAACGGTTAACTGTTTTCAGTTTTTTATTCTTTCTACCTTTTTATTCTGCTTCATTTTATTTTTTTTTAAAGATATGAAAAGATTGGAAATTATCAAACTGGCAAGGCAAATGAGTAACTTCGAATAAAAAGTATAAGATCAGTGATTTTTTACTTGTAGCTTAATGAACAAATAGATCTTTTTTATCCGACTCATAATAAAAAAGTCACAAATCAAAAAGTCTAAAGTAAAACAAAAAAAGAAAAGGCAACTAAACATTGCAGTTATCGACTGCTTTCTTCTTTAACAAGGATTATCTGTTCATTAAATTTTTTTTTTTTCTAAGCTTTATTAGCAAATAAAAATGATATGGAAAAAATTTATTTTTTCTTAATAAATTGCCAAGTAAAACCTATAAAAAAAACCAAAAGACTTTATAAAAAAGCTATTTGATCATTGAAGTACCTATGAGGTAGCTACGGTTTGACCTTCCTATCGCAAAGCTGCTCGACACAGTCAGTCACCATCAGTTACGGACTAACCAAGCAGCCAGAGATTTCCCAAAAATCTGTGTTCAAAGCACAGATTTGATAAATTGCAGAACTACGGCTAATTTAAATAAACTACTGAAGACTGAAATGAAAAAACAGTGTTTCTTGAAGCACTACAAAATCAGTACACGTTGGCACTGATGCAGCTGATTAAGGTACTGAAGACTAAGTTTTGGAATGAGGAACCGACACATGCACCCCACAATTGGCAAAGCATAATAAAATTGGTACTTGGTGATGGTGCTGCCTCCTTTCTTGCAGCCTCTTCAACACGAATATTGGCTGCACAAGGATCTGCCGTATTTTAAACAACTTTTTGAAGGCGTTAAACAAACCGAGTAAAAACTTTGGACCAACATGTATTTTATGCTATTGATTTTCTGTTTTGTTATATTTTTAGTTTCTCTCTTTCTCTGTTAAAACTTTTCTTCCGCTTCTTTTTTATTTTTTGTATTTTGGGCGTTTGGCGGTAAAGGAAGATTGTAAAGAAATTAAATATTTATTACTACTGAATAACATCCTGGTAATTTTTTGCTTTCTAAACAGTGATTAAAAAATTTCAATTTTTTAAAATTAATTAATTAACTATTTTTGAGGAGGAAGGGAGGTGAAGAGGTGAAAAAAAGTTACGAAGTTTTTCAAAAAAGCAAAGAAATCGAAAATAGCGGCATTGACAGCACAAATACAATACTGGAAATCACAGTGATTTAACACTGGTCACGATAATAATCAAAAGAAACCTGCCAAAAAAAATCTGAAGTGAAGGCACGTGATAGCCAAATGTACCAAGATGACGGTTGTAAGACTAAATGAAGAACTTTCTAGTTTTCTGATGATATTGAAACCAACGTGTTCAGTTTGTAGGTAGACGAAAAACGAAAGTTTATGTATCTGTCTTCAACTTAAAAGTTAACTTTTCCGTTTCTTGCCAGACTTACTAATAAGTAAGAATCTGAAAACAACTTCTAGTAATTTTTTATCACCTTCCTTTATAGTACTGAAGAAGAAGCAAATTGAGGGATAGTTAAAAGCAAAGTATATTAAAATTGCAATTTTAGTATCGTTTCAAACTTTCATGCCTGTAAATCAAACGCAGCCAAGCAGAGAGTGTATAGAAATGATTCTTTTTTTATGAAGTGAAAATATGTCACCAAGTTTTGACGATAGCAAGAGAAGTTAGAGATTTGGTAAAAACCTTTTTTAACTTGTTGAGAGCCAGTCAAGCCTTTTATATTTCTAAAAAAGAATGTTTAAAGTTTTAGAGGGTCTTAAAAAGAAAGGAGGAAACATATGATGGGATGTATGCATATTCACAACCTCACTAACAGTAAGAACGATGACTCCCCGTTTCTCAGCCGTAAAGTAATTGTTGTGAGTGGACTAAACCATTCATTTCGATTAGCTGCAAGATTAAAACAAAAACTTTTGAGGAAAGTTATGACTGTGGACACGATGAAGTAGTGTTTTAGCATGGACAAGGATTGTCTGAATTTTAAAAGTGATATTTTTAAAGCAGAATAAATATTTAGTTTCTTCTTTCTGAAAAGATGTTTAAATTTGCCTGAGAAGTTGTTTAATGTGCATTAAGTGCAGTGATGTTGGATATCAACAGTGAACTGTTGTTAAAGAAAATAAGGTTGAAGGAACATAAGAACACGACTTTTAACGAGGCTATATCTTAATGTAAGCCTGCTGTATTCCAAACTCACTCTTTTATTTCGTTATATATAATTTTTCTTCCACATGTTTTTAACTAATGCTGCAGACGTCAAATCTTTTTACCTGAAACTTGGCAGACAAACATCAGTAACAACATTAGCACCGCAAGGAGCAATAAGCTGTAGCCGAGTGCGAAAAGTTTTTCTGTTCATTTCTAATGCACCCGGAGTCAGGTGATGAAATTATTTGTTTATGAATTCCTTTGCTTCCCCAATGCGCCATCTGCTTGTTATTGTCTTCATATTTCTTACATTTTCTATAATCGTTGAAAACTATTTTCCGGAACCGAAACGTGCTCCTAAAATCAGACCTAAAAGCAGCACAAATCAAGGACCGTATTTTGGGCAACCTGAACAGGTTGCTCTCAGTCATGCTGGTAAATCTTTACAAAATGTTTTAATAATTTTATCATTTTTACGGTTAAAAGCCTTCTATTAATCCTTCGTTATCCTTTTCGCATTTGAGGCCCAGTAAAACCAATAATAACCGTCTTAAATTTTAATTAACACGCTTCTGCAGTCGACGTTCTCTGAAACTCTCTTGATCTATTCGCTATTTTCTCATTATAAACTTCCGCTACTGGAACGTTGCAGTTAAGAAAGTATTTTTACAGATATTCACCACTGAAGTTAAGTTAGTTGACTGTACAAGTCCCATAACTTTTCTTTTATGTTTTCGTGTAATAGTTCGGTTACGACTCTGGAAATGTTTGCAGGAAATAAAATTTTGACTTGGAAAAGCAACAACTTTCATTTGTACTCTATTAAGATAACAGCAAATAACACTGCATTTCTTAGCTATTCTAGTATGTGACAATGCAATTTCATCAAGCAGATTTCTCCTGACGTTATCCCTACATTGTAGCTACTTTGCAAAGTGCTTTTCTGAAAAATGTCGTAAGATTCTTTGTTCACTTTATGTGCATAACTTTGTATTTCAGTACTCTGAGTATGAGTTTCAGCACTAGGATCTACAAAATTGTATTTATGGTTTACTATTCTACTGAAAAATTCAGCACTTCATGTCGGGACTGCATAATAATTTCTCAAAAAATAATTTAATAGGTGGGCCTATCTTCAGGACGCATAATGTTGGGCAGCATTGAAGTTGCCGAGAATCTCTTCAACAAAGATTTCGCTCATTACCTTATAAATTCACTTGAAGTCCGCACCAAATGCGAACCTTTTCCAGCAAGCTTCCTTTAACAATCTGCCCCATTTCTGAAAATCTGATTTCTCCTTGTTGGGCAATTGTTTACGAATACTTTAAAACATGTGTGAGCATTTAAAATCCACCTAGTTGATCTCTGCCTTTGAACTCGCTTTTTATAGTGTTACTACGTAGATTTCCCGTAACTTTCCGCAGGGCTTTTTAAAATGCCATTCACGTCTCACGACAACTAAGAGGATGGATGAGAGTTATTAGGTCAGAATTACAAAAAATCACGTATTTGACAACTTATTTTTTAAATAGCGTTTCTCAAAATTAACTGACTGATTTAAGAGGTAACAGCAATTGTGAAGAATTTCTTGATTAGTGGAGAAAAGTGGAACAAAAACTGCTTTCATGTCTTTCATTGCTGCAATAACTAAAAAATACTGTAAACTGTAGTGTCACAAATAAAAAGTTATTAAAAAATAAAAATTTTGGTTCATTTAAACTCAGATTCTGATTTTTACAGGTAATTACTAAGTTGTTTCTGAACTATTATGGAGAAAGCTTAGAAGCAAAAAAAGTTTATAAAATTTATAAAGCCAGTTGATGTAAAACTGTGGAATCTGCAACAACTTCATTCTTATTTTATTATTTCGGCGCAGAAAGTCATAATAAAGAATTTCAAGTGTCTTTTTTCTTAGGTAATGGAACTGACTTATATGTTACTTGGATTACATTCGATGAAACGTTCAAGTCCTTAGTAGAATATGGTGAAAATGATCTAAACTTGTTGGCTGAAGGCACTTCCGTTTATTTTGTTGACGAAGGAGAAAAGCGTATTCGACGATACGTTCATCGAGTGACACTGAAGTCGTTGAAGCCCGGCGTCACTTATCGTAAGTTATTAAAGATTGCGGAAAACCTTATTATTCAATCTAGTTTTTGTTTCGCAAAAGAACGATTTTCCAGTATTATGTCAGAAAATATTAGAAATTTTGAACAAAATAAGACTACTTAATTACTGCACTGGAGAGGAAAAATGCTGTAGAAGCGCTGACTTTGTTTTTCTCAAAGTTTCTTTAAAGTCAAAAACCAGAAAAGTTTCACTCAACGCGACCTTCATATCATCATCCAAGACATATTCAAGAAAAAAAAGAGGCATGCGATCAATAGAAGTAGCATTCTTTTAAAAAAGAAATCTTTTTACTGAATCTTACTTAAAGCATGAAATTTCATTCAAACATCCGCCTGAGGTCGCACTTTAAACCGCAAAATTAAACTAATTTTTAATTTATTTTGCAGTTTTTACTTACATTCCAACAAGGTATGTCTAAAAAAAAGATCATTTTTATACTTTTTCTTCTACACTTTTCACAACTTATTTCCTTTTCATGTTACAGGTTTCCTAAAACTACAGTGCACCTCTTTTTTTGAATCAACCACTAGAGTAACAGTCATCGGAAACATTATTTAGTATGTAAACTTAGCAGCCTTAGTTTTAAAAAACTTACTAGAGGAGACCTTCTCTACGATACTTACAGATAGATATTTAAAAGATCAATTATGAACTGCAATTTTCTAACGCGTTGACTTTCATTAAACAGTTGCTAATATTATGTTTAAATTTTTTTTTCAGAATTTGAAAGTCACAAGGAATTAAGAAATCGAACATTTCCTGCAATTGTTGAGAGATTTTTATTGGTCAGGTTATTGATATACGGTGGAGGTGTACACAGTGCAAATCTTATATTTGATTCAAAATATGACTGTTGTTCGAATTCAGCTCCTAGAAATCTACTTTTGAAAAGATTTTTGAAACAAACTTTTGGTTGTTATTTGTTGGAAGAAAAGAATCAAGAGTATTTAGTGACCAAGCCCTTCTGGAATGCTGATTAATTTAAATGAAAAAATTTGAAATAATTCAGTACTCAGTTGACTGTTTTTCGCAATTACTGTTAGGGAGTCGATCATTGCCTGTAGACAATATTTTAGTACCTAAGTAGTTATTACAAGACAATGGAAGTGTTTTTAACTTGCAACTTTTATTTTCCTCTTCCACAAATTATTCTACCAGCTACAGTTGAAACTACTCGACGATTTGTCAACAGAATAAACGTTGGAAGAGAGTAGTAAAGCTACGTAATTTTAAATCTTTCAGTGTGTTTTAAAACGGTCTGATTAGTATATCAAGATTTAGATGTTGTGTGCCAGTTGTCTTTTTTTTCTTTTTTTTTGTTTATCTGTTTTAACTTATAGTTGGGTAACCGTATTGACAGAAGAATGTTGTAGACAACGTTATTTTGTTTAAAAATTTTTTCATAATAGACAAGTAGTTTTCAGCATTAAAATGGTGTTTGAATTAAATGATTTATTAGTCCAAAGAACGAAACTGGCGGGAACGAACCTGGTCAACCTTTGTGTTCAATTTTCTTTATCTACGAAAAAATTGGTTTTAGCAAAAGAATTATTACGCTTCTTCCTCTAATTGGTATCTCAGTTCTCTTGGAAGACAAATTCATCGAAATTGCCAGATACTGGTGTCAGATGTGCTTTACCTGCAAACATTTAGCGCTACAAATTATGTCATTACCACACACAGTTCGTCAGTGCAACAGCTATCTGACCACTAATTTTTTTGGATGTTACCAACAGATTTTTTAGTGTTATTTTAAGTGCCAAAGTATATCTAGATTGATAGTGAGGCCTAACCGCTGGTTTTTTAAACACTCAAACATAGATATTAATTACACTGTAGTAGAACTGTACACAGCTATTCCGTACAATTAATAATGAAATATACTGCTGTTTATTACTGGCAAACCGATACCCGATTTCTTGCAGAATACCATGTTGGTTCCGAATATGGATGGAGTCCCATCTTTCGCTTTACTGCGCTGGAACCACGTCCAGAAGGAGGCTTTATTTATGCTGTTTACGGTGACCTTGGGAACGTCAATGCACGTTCATTGGGAAAAATTCAACAGTTTGCTCAGAGGGGCAAAATTGACATGGTTTTGCACATTGGTAAGCTAGTAGAGATTGCAAAAAGCGGCAGTTTGTAAAATTATTTTACGGTTTCACCTTTCGATGATTTTTTCAACAATATTTCAATCATTGGTTACGCCCTGATTTACAGCAGTATCAAATATATGGCTTTTTAAGGTGATATGGCCTATAATCTTGACACGGTATGATTAGACAACTTTTACCGACGTAAAGCACTTATTTTTGTTTAATTGCCTTTTCTTGCATGAGCTTTTTAATCGGTCATTGTTTACTTATTTTCTTGATTTGAAAAAGGATGATGGGTACTTTGGTGATCAATTTGGCCGCCAGATTGAGCCAATTGCGGCATATGTGCCGTATATGACGGTGGTTGGGAACCATGAGAGTGCACAAAACTTTTCGCACTATGTTAATCGGTACACAATGCCAAATAGTCAAGGAAATTTATTTTACAGGCAATTCGTTTTTAAATAAAGTAAACGCCACTTTCTTAAAGTGTTCTCAACATCCATTTTTAAAAATAGTTACGGATACATAGTAATGGCAATTTATGCTGCATTTGTTGGCGCCATCTTAAAACCAAATTTTGTTTTGATTGATGCCTTTAATTACAGTTTCGACATCGGTCCAGCTCACTTTATCGTCATTTCTACGGAGTTTTACTTTTACACGAACTATGGATGGAAACAAATTCATCATCAGTGGAATTGGCTAATGAACGATTTACAGGTGTAAAAACTGACCATTATTTTTCTGCTTTTCCCTCAAGATCTTACATTATTCAAACAATAGCGTGTATTTATCTTTGTTACATAAAAACTGCGACTGGCTGGAAAGAAGAAGTGGAGAAGGTTTTGAAATTTTACCTTTTCAGAAAGCTAACAGTGAGCGAGACAAACATCCCTGGATTATAACCATGGGCCATAGGCCTATGTATTGCTCAAATTTTGATGGAGATGATTGTACACGTTATGACAGCATAGTACTTCCTAAATGTTCTTTGCGATACTTTAACAATAATGAAATTAATTATACAAATTCTTTAACTGCTATAAATAACTTTTATGTTATAAAGAAATACTGGCGTGTCAAGCCTGTTAACCTCCTTATTCCGTCCTCGTTTCTTCAGATTCGTACCGGTCTACCAGTGACTCATGCTTATGGTCTCGAGAAGCTTTTCTACACTTATGGAGTGGACCTGATGATATGGGCGCATGAACATTCATATGAAAGACTGTGGCCTGTTTATAATCGAACGGTTCATACAAACTCTCCTGTTCTTTGTTATACGTTAACAATAATGGAATTAATTATACTGATTTTCTCCAGCAAACTTTTTGAAAATCGGGGACCATTACTAATGGGTTGAATTTAGGTGTTCAACGGCACAAGGTCGCCGTATTTTAATCCACCAGCACCAGTTCATATCGTTACTGGATCCGCTGTACGCTTTATGACTTTTGATTTGTTTTATTCGATATTTCACTTATAAGGTATTGAAAACATTGTTATTTTAATAGGAATGATAGCAAAAGATAGATGGATTGAAGCACCCCACTGTTGCAGTTCCTTTTTCACATGTCATTTTCTCCTTACTAAATCGTATTTACCTCTTTTTTTTTAAATATGCCTTTTGCAAATTTTGTAGTTTAGGGGTGTCAGGAAAACACAGACCCCTTCCAAGAACACTCTCCACCATGGAGTGCGTTTCGTTCTTCTAACTATGGGTTTACAACAATGCAGATATTTAACGATAGTCATATATACTTTGAACAGATCGCAGCTTCAAAGGTATCTGTTAAAATACATCACAAGACGTTTTGAGAGACCAACCTTTCTCATTCTGTACTCTACACCTCCGATAGTCACTTATGCCAAATAAAATTTGGAAGTAAGGTTGTCAGTTTCTGTTAGAAATACAGTTTAAATCTTATTGTTCTCTTTGTTATTGACCGAAGGTACTTTTACCGTTTTAGGAAAAACCTGAAGACAGTTTTTGGTTGATTAAGTACTCACATAGGCCGTACACCTTGGCACAACACAAAGTATTGGAAAAGTATGGTACTCATATTCCTTACTAATACCATCATTACTGCAAAACTGCCTGTCTGATCAACAATTCGTTGAGAAATGATCATTATCGTTAAGCAAAATTTACTTGTGTTACTGTTTATCCTGCAGCACTTATACAGTATTATTTCTCTAGTTGTGGTAATTTATTTCATTTTCACTTTTTTTAAAACTGAAATTGAGCAAAACTTTTTCTTGTAATAAACCACTGTAAATGCATCATTATTCCTGAACAGAAAACAGTTTATTTGGCTTCATCAGTGGAGATTGACATACGGCTTTTCGAATCAGCCTTAGCTTAATTAACAAAATATGACTCACCTAATGGTTGAATTGTAAATTCTTCCCAGACTATCGTAGTCATATCAGAAAATATGCCCTTTTTTGACCGACAGCGATGATATTAGTGCTAGGCAGTTTACTGCTAGACTGTTCTTGACTTTCAGTAAACCATATTTAAGGACTTAAATAATTTTTTTTCAACCACAGAATGAAGGGACTTGTGTGATGAATGTGAGACTCTAAATGACTATGACTTCTTTCATGATGGCGTAATCAACTGCTTAACGTATATTTAAACTCGCAGAGTGAGTGACATGTTTAAAATTAGATATCTTTCTTGGCCAATCTAAGCTAATAATAATAATTAAACATAGACATCCACTTTTAAAGAATATGGTTGCTGTTTTTTGTATTTGTCATATAAAAAAGTGCCAGCAAAGACTAAAAGGGATTTCTTAATATAGCGTGAAAAAGCTACGAGTAAATAAAAATTAAAAAAAGCCGCCTTTTGGGTAAATGAACAATGTGTTCTGAATGAAGACTGGAAGAAGGCAACATTACCGACAAAAATACGTTTTTAAAAATACAAATTTATTTATATAGTAGTTTCAAACATCTGGTAAAAAATAAACAAAAATTTGGACCAAATTAAATGCCTCAAACTGCGAAAGTCTGTGATAATATTTTCAGAAAGGTCTCCATTGGGAACTGCTCTGCGTAGTACGGATTCATCCAAGTCCCTGTCTAAAAGATTTCTAACCATTCTATGATTCTGTCTTTCCTTTCCTTTCGCAGAATTTCAAAGTCTTCATGTTTGAGTAATTATAAGAGGATTTGCAGAGCTGAGCTTGTCGTTAGCAATTGAATTTGAGATACGGCGCGGGGCATTTGCAAATGAAATTCTGCTAGCTTTTTAGGTCTACCAGATTTAACAAAGCATATCTACGAACTGCAAACCAACTGCAACTTCTCAATCATTTTTATATCCTTTACCACAACACCTCAACTTCATATTTTTCTTTTCTAACTCTTAAGGACAAAATGCTTCATGAAGAAGCTAAGTGATGGAATTTTCAAGCCATTTTTGACATATCTCTTTTGTGAGATTAAAGAGTGGTAAAAGCTGAGTGTTAAGCCTCTGTTCAGTTCTTGCATTAAATGACAAAAAACCTGCACTGCTTCAGCGATCTAAGTATGTATGAGTGAAAAATACCGAGGAAGGAGTTTCAGACCTTTTTTCATATTTAATTTTTCTCGTTGACAAGAAGATCACTTAGTTCCATTCTTACAACTTACCTCTTATCACTTCTTACCTTTACCGGCACCAAAAAAGAACTTTTTGTTGTGAAGCTGAGGCAATTTTCAAACGGCTAGCTGGTAGGAAGCGTTTTCCAAATTTCATACCTTCCGAAAGTTGCCTTCGTTTGTAGGCCTACCAGATTTAAAAAAGCATATCAACGAACTGCAAACCATTATTTTTAAAATCTGCAGTTTGTAATTTCTTTCGTTGCAACATTCAGTACTACTTACGGTTGGTTGATATTGCACGCAAAGAACAACGGTAATTGTCTGGGCACTTGACTCTACGAATTCACTCATAGAAATCTTTGTACCTAAGCGGGCGAAGTGTCTGTCCGCTTAGATACAAAAGAGCTTCATTTGGGAGCATTGTAGCGCTATGCCGACGTTTCCGGATAAGGAGACTTTTGGGCCAGCACAGGTGCCCCGGTTTGGTAGAAACAGCTTTAACCTTTGCTCTAGATCCATTTGGTGCGAGCTTTCAATATATGATTGCTAGGTTGCTGGGAAGAACAAGGAACAAAAATGATACGTTAAAATTTTTGTAAACGGTTTTTACCTGATTCAAATATGTAACAAAGAGGAGAAGAAGACATGACAATAATATATGGTTTAATACAGTATATTGAAGGCCCTGAAGGGCTGCAATCAAAGAACACTGCTGCTGTTGATAGATTTCAAACCAAGTGAAAAGTTCAATTCGTTGTTAGGTTCCTTAGGTTGCTCTTATGTTGAGAGGAAATTTACAGCAAGAAAGATATAGCTTTGGGCCAGGTATACGGTTCCGGGTTTGAACATTTACACACTAAGAAAGCGAAGGAAAAAGCAAGAGGAGAATACCAGAATTTTTTTTAGTTTATTGCAATACGTCGTGAAAAATTCTAATTAAATTAGTCGTACTGCGTTTCACCGTTCTCAGGTGATGAGGTCCTTCGCCTAAAAGAGTGCCAAACCAGTTTCGTTTCTTAGAGCAAAATGCAATTTGATACACATAATCTCAATATGCAACGATTGACAGCAGCAGTCTTGGCTTACTGGCTTACTGACGGCCAAATACATATATGACAGGGACTTGTCTGAAGAGGCTCCATGCTTCACAAACTAGGACGGCGAAAAGATAAGACCGGCCTCTATATTTTATAAATGCCTTTGTGAGGTGCGTGATTTCAACAGCTTCCAGCTGTTACAATTTAGAAATTTTTGGCCATCCAAAAACAACGGCTTGGAAGTCCAAGAGCACGATTTTTGCAAAAAAAAATGTGGCTTTTTGACTAAGTGATATTCATTTGGAGCAGCCTACTGTAAAACTTTGTTAATCTGTATTTTTAGCTTAGAAGTCCTTTTAGACAAATCTAATCCTCACGTTTACTAAGCTACTTTGTTACATAGTAGGTAAACTTTACTTATACTCATATTTTAGTATTTCCTTCTAATGTCTGAAAGTGAAAGTTATTGTTCATTTCCGGTATCAGTCATTGCTGACCTTGATCTTCCTTTGTAAACTTTTGAATTGGCCTGCATAAAATAATCAGAGTCAGACTGCAGCCACCACAGAAAAAACAGCCCTGTATACTGACTTTTTTCTTTTAGATTTATGTTGAACATCATCAAATATTTCAGGAAGGAGTAATATTCGTTATCTGTTGATCTAAAGCTTAGTATACACTTAAAAAATATACGTTGATGACCGCATTCCCGTTGAAAATAATGTAATTCTTTTTTCTTTGTAATAAACTAAGAGTACCCGCGAAAAGAAATTAATTATTGAGCTAAAAAAGATTATCGAAAATGTGGTCATTTGCAAAGTTAAAAGAAAGCAATTGAGGAACAACGAAGTCTGACTCAATAACGGTCTGCTATATCTTTTAGAAACAATATTTAATAAAATGACAGTACAAGGGAGTTAATGGAATGTCAGCGAAAACAAAGTATGTAATACAACTACTGTACCATTTATTACAACATATCACTGATTCTGAGGAAGTCGAGATTTGAGGATTTTTTTATGGCATTTTGTTATTCTGTCAAACACCCTGAAAATGACGACGTTTTCTAGCCTTGTAACAAGCAGAACGAAAACTGGAAATTGCAAAAAACAAGTATTAAAAAGTCTTACCAAACATAACGCTTCGCACTGTCGCTTTGTCTCAAACCTGTTGTCATTACCACCACATCCTTTATAGAAGAACAACTTGCAACGCTTATCTTTCTTGCTGTAAGCATACTGCAAATTCGTTCTCGGCACTGGTTCGTCTTCTCGGCAAACTCGGCCTGGAAAAATCGTTAGAGAGCAATTTGTTAGCTGATTGTATAACTGTTAATACTACTCTACTAATATGCAGTAAGATAACCTTCTGATGAACTCAGCATACAGACACTTCTGTCAAGTCGAGCCTTTTTAGAGCTGTTTACAACATCGAACGGATCATCAGCATTTCCAATGTCAATTTGTACGCCTTCGTTGTCTTTACTTTCACTGTTGAAGAGTTCTAAAGAGCCAGTGTAAAAATTTCGATCAGCTTCAGCTAATACTGAATTGACCAGTTTAGAAGAGGAATATTAGTTTTACCGGCCGGAGGGGAAGTTGGTGGTCTACTGTCAGGTTTCATCATCATTCTTGCAAAACTAGGTACCTCAGCAACGGTGTACTTCGACTCTAAAAGTCATAACTGTTTATAGTGGGTTAAAAATCGACAAAATTAACGAGGAAATCATTTAAAATGCTACTGCTAGAACGCTATGTACTTCATCAAAAACAGAACAGCAATCTCTTGTTTAGCAGCAAATTATACCGGTCGTAACTACTGTTCCTTCAAAAGTTTCCTTTTTGTTATCTCCTTTATAGTTCCTTACAACAGGCTTTCCGTCAAATAAACTCCCGCTACTCTCTTCTGCAAACGCAAAACATTTGGAACGTTACTGTTGCCGTCAGAATAAAAAAAGTTAGACTTTGGATTTCATCAAGTGCTGAATGAGTAGGTAATATTGCTTTTCTTTAAAATGACTAACTACCCTTCACAGCAGAGTGTTTTGAGGAAAGTCTGTTTTGAGGCTTGGTGTCGGAAGGTAAAGAGCCACGTTCTATGATCTCTCCTGGATTAGCCTTACGATTGCCAAAGTACGGAGCAGCCACTGGCGGTGGAGGAATGTTGTTACCAGATGGTGTTAGCGGACAGCACATCCTCCCTGAACGTTTATACACTTGATTTGTGACTCAAGAAGCAAGTCTGTTAATATATCTTGGAAGCCATATAGAGCGGACCTACTTTTAAGTGGAAATCAAAAATAAAAAATCCTTCAAAGTTCCTCTTATTTCTTACAGCCTTTTTCGTCATTAATAGAACAGTAGAATCCGACTGGACAGAATGCTTCGCCATCGCTTCCATAACCACACCTTATAATTCTTCCAGTTTTGCGATCGATTAAAGCATCAGAACCATCAGGACATATTTTTGATAAATAACCATCAAGAGATCTTGTGGATTCTCTTTTCGCTTAAAAGACTTCTGTGAGCAGATTGTGAGAAAGTTAAAGAAGATGATGTAATCTTGGCCAAAGAAGGGGTGGAATTTAGTTGGAGAATGAGGCTCTTCAAGGTGCAAAGCCATATATAGCTACGCGGCTTTGGTGGCCTGGGCTTTCACCTCTTCTTACTGTGATACCATTGAGAGAAATATAAAGAAATATAAATATTATATAAGCATACAATAAATTTAAAAAAAAAAACAAATTTATTAACCACCAAAAATTATTTCACGAGCTTAAAAAACACACTCTATAACCCTAAAAACGAAAAGAAATGGTGGAATCAAGGGCACAAAGTCCTTTCGACAAAAAAAGTAATAGGAATAGTAAAGAAAGAAATTAGCTCCTCAGCTACATGCCAACGGAAAACTCGGCAACGGCATTACAGTTTCGTGAAATTCAGCAACCGCTATGTACCCGCTCGTATTATCAAAATACTTATAGAGCGCGCAGAATACACTGGACGAAACATCTTAGTTTGAACTGAAACCGGCATTACCCTTAGCGTTCTACACGCAGACAGGCTTTTGCGCTAGGTTAGAAATAAACTCTACTGTAAATCGTATACACAGATATAGTCGGTTCCATATCAGTTAGCAACTTTTTACAGTTATTATCTTGGTGGATGTTTTTGCCTGATAGTCCGGGCCACACCTAATAAAAAGAAAAAAACTAGAAAAGTGAGTTTTTCCCGGTAATGCCCCCTGGTGGTTTAAAAGTTTGCCAAGTAGCTTCTCGAGATACTTTTTTTCCAGAATTGCAATTCAGCCCAATTCAGTAGAACTCAAGTTTTTTTGATTAATAAAATTTAGCAACTCTTTCTACTTTTATAACTCATTATTTAATTTCTTTCAGCTACACTAAAAACAGAAACAGAATAAAGAAAAAACGTTTTTAAAATTTGAGGAAAATTTTCATCAGGGATCTTTTGGCTTATAAGATATTTCTTCCAACTCGGTAAAGTTGTTTCGACCAGGGTAAGCGGATTATAGGCCGAAAAGAAACCTGAGACAGAAAATAACTCACTCCTTCAACAGCAAACTCATGCATCTTACATTGAAAAAACGGTCTTTGGCTGTTTCTGAAAGCCATCAAAGACCGGTATTTTTTAATTGTCAAAGATTTGTTAAAAATTGTTGAACTTAAAAATTCAAATAAATTATTACTTTGCAGAACGGTAAGCATTAGCCTTTATTCTAAATCTCAGACTCCGAGAAAAAAATTTCTGTGCCTCACGCATTCCTTGTCTACCAAACCTACTCTTTCATACAGTTTGTGTCATATCAAAAAGCATACGAATTGGCATGAAACGGCTGATATATATATATATATATATATATATATATATA